CAAATGTAATTTTTTAAAAAAATTGCTAGCTTTCTTTATGGATGTGAGAACAAGGCTTCTCCAATTAGCCAGTATTCATATCTGTTGGTAGAGAAGCCAGGAGAAAGTTATGCAGAAAGACCTGCTGTGAGCCATTGTGTCTGTCTTCACTAGGGGTCCCCAGGGTATAGCTGGACTAGGTAGCCAAATTGTTATTTTTAACTAGCCAGCTTTCAAGTCGAATTCATCAAAACATTAGTCCGGATAAGAGCTCTATTAAGGCTCTTATTACAGGTAATTGAACCTTATACTAAGTGTATGTATGAAAGGCAAAGTAATCTCATTATCTTCCTCCAATTATTTAAATAAATGAACACATTAAATGTTTTTACTTCTAAGCTGTGACCCTTTAAAATGTTAGATTTTTAAAGCAAATACATAAGTTTCAGAACAAGCTTAAATAATGTACAACATATACATTTTCTAGTAAAGGAAACTTTTCACAAAATATGAGGAAATTTGGTCCAATTTATAGCTTCATTACTTTTGGGGTTTTATTTGTACCACAAAAATAATACATCATATTTGTGCTTATTTTATTTAAAGTAAAGGTTTCCCTTCCTCGAAAGCCAGTCGAAACCAACTCTAGGGGGCAATGCTCATCTCTGTTTCCAAGTCGAAGAGCCAGTGGTGTCCGAAGACTTCTCCATGGTCATGTGGCCGGCATGACTAAACGCTGAGGTGCATGGAACGCTGTTACCTTCCCATTGAAGCAGTACCTATTGATCTACTTGCAATTTCTTGCTTTCAAACTGCTAGGTTGGCAGGAGCTGAGGCCAGAGACGGGAGCTCACTCCGTCACGTGGCACTAGGGTCTTGAACTGCTGAACTACAGACCTTCCAGTCTGCAGCTCAGTGTCTTAACCTCTGAGTACTTTATGTTAAATAGTATATTGCACTGGCCCTTTTAAAATTTTGCCAAAAAGAGTTCATTAAAAACATCTGACATTTCCTAAGAACAAGCAATTTTGGGTGGCAGCAGTTCATAGGGAACATTTTTTATAAGGAAGCTTCCTAGGTGCAATCCTGTGCTTTTTTACATGGGAGGAAACCCTTAAACCCCATGGAACTTGACTTCTGAGTAAATATACATATGGTTAGACTGAACCTCACAGAAAGCTCTTTGTCCATTGGGTTTGGAAAAGCTTTTTAGTAGAAATAAAGTAGCATCTACTTGTGTTTTTAAAAAGATTTATCTGTTCTTACCTGGTAGATAGCACAAAAGCAGGGGCAAAATATGGTACTTTTTATAGCAGTCTCTCTCCTTTTATTGCTGAAGAAATTTTGGGAGGGAAATGGAAAAAAGGAGCTGCGGTGGCTCAAGTGGTTAAGACGCAGAACTGCAGGCTGTGGAAGGTCAGTAGTTCAGCAGTTTGAGACCCGGGTGCCGCATGATGGAGTGAGCTCCCATCTCTAGTTCCAGCTCCTGCCAACCTAGCAGTTCGAAAGCAAGAAATTGCAAGTAGATAAATAGGTACCACTTCGGTGGGAAGGTAACAGCATTCCGTGCGCCTTGGTATTTAGTCATGCCGGCCACATGACCACGGAAACGTCTTCGGACAGCGCTGGCTCTTCGGCTTTGAAACGGAGATGAGCACCGCAACCCTAGAGTCGGATTCGACTGGCTTTCGAGCAAGGGAACCTTTACCTTTACCTTTTTACCTGGTAGATAGCACAAAAGCAGGGGCAAAATATGGTACTTTTTATAGCAGTCTCTCTCCTTTTATTGCTGAGGAAATTTTGGGAGGGAAATGGAAATAGAGAGGGCACAGTTTGCAGCATTAAAAAAGAGGTACAAAAGAGACTCAGTTGAAAATGAAAATAAAAACTGGCTGCAAATCTCTTAAAGACACAGCGCAATAAGTTAGTTTGTTTACTTTGAGAGGGACTTACCATGATGAAAAGATCCTCATGACTGGCAAGTGCCTTTCTCTGTATCAGTGTTTTGCTTGTCCCTGAAGCTGTAAAGGGGCTTCAGAACAATCACGTTTTAAAATTTACAGTTTGTCTCTTCTGAGCATTAAAAGGTGTTCAGTGAATTTAGATTCCATATCCATTTTTAATTTATATTGTTGTAACTGAAGATGGTAATGTTTTGCTTAACTTTAAAAAAACACCTGGGTTTGACTTTTAACACGAGCCTCTTAAGTGAAGCCTAACGGTACTACCAAAAGATACTTTAAAGTGAGCCCTGCCACTGTCAGCATTTTTTATTTCTTGGGGCCAACAACACTGGCAGAAAGATTTCTAAAACCTCAGGTGAAGGTCTCTTGAATGCCATTACTTTTGCTGTCCTAGTGCTCAGATTAAAATGCTTGATAGAGAATGCCAGTGAGAGATTAAATTACTTGCTCTGCAGTGCAGAAAGTTAGAATGGATGGGACAGAGGAACTGGAAATATGGTGTTGGTTGCTGTATTTGGAGTTTTTGGATGGTGGTGCTAGCATTTGTCTGTGGTATCAGATTATTGAAATGAGCTGCTATGAGTTGCATCAGTTAGTAAAACAGCCCATGTTCCTTGTGAATATACAATTGTTGTTCAGGTACAAATGGTTATCTGTGCAATGCATCTTTTTAGAATTTTCAGGCAGTCGTGATTTAGAATCCAACCTTCTGCTCCTTTAACTACTTATCTTGTATGTCTCCTTTCTCATCTTTTGAAATTCCACCCTTTTATGGCTCTTGACCATTGAAAACAAATGCACTGTGAAATGCCCTGTAATAGGACAATACTTTCCCCCTGCACTTTGATTTTAAGAAAAGTTTTGGTCTCTCCCACCCCAGTTTAGTTAGGTACAAAGTATTTTGACACTTTAGTAGTCCTAATAGATAATTGTGGGTAAGGAGGTACAAGAAGAGCTTTGTTATGCAACTCCTATGGGAAACGGGGGTTGGCGGTTAATCAAATATGCTGGATACTTAAGCTTATTGCTCTGCCTTGCTCCCTACTAAGAGGAATCTGCAGCAGCCACCCTCTTGAGAACACCATGGCAATGCCACCCATTCCTGGGAGAGCCTTCTCCCCAAGCCACAGCGCCATCCTGTGCAGCAAGCAGACAAGTGGGCCAGCAGCCTGGGAGCCCTCCAGCACAGATGGCTTTGAACACCTCAAGCCTGACTGAGGGAAAGGGTGCACTGAACTACAGTGTCAGTCGGCAGTGCTAGCTTTCAAAAGTCCAGCAGCGGCAGCTGGAAGAATCAGGATAGCTAGCTGGGGAGAGGGCAAGAGTGGGACACACATGCACCTGACAGTGCAGGGGTATAGTGACTGAGAGGGTGGAGCTTTTCCCTCTTGATAATGGTGGCTAACTGAGCATTCTGAATAATCAACAGCTAACAACTTTTACTGTACATGAAATTGCCAGTAGTAACTTCCATAAAGTAGAGCAATGTTCACAATCCCAGGAATATAGCTGTGATCCCTTTAGATCACAATTGCATTTCTCCATATGTGTTTATAGAACTGCTCCTAAGAAACAGTTTTAGGAGTACTTTAAAAATAAAGAATGTTTCTCCAATAGTGTTCTATATTTACTCATTAGTTAGGGATTTTTTTTGAGCATTTTTTTTTAGCATATCTGAAATTGGGCACAAAATGGGTTATTTTAATCAGTAGTGGTAATAAATATTAACTCTCTTAGAGATGTAAATAGCAGGTGTTATATTTTCAAGTACATGGTACATGTCTGGACTCTGGAATATATATTAAATCACTGCCAGAAACAAATGCTTAGCTTGTGCTATAAGAATACTGCTGATTTGTGGATGTGAGCCTCAGTTTTCCAGGTTCTAACATAGTGGAAGGATTCATTTTTAGGCCAATGTGGTATAGAGAGACTTTCCCAATGAGGGGCTCTCCATAACCATGTCATTCACAACAACAATCCCATCCCAATTTACTGCTGTTATAGACCCTTCCCTACACATTGCACACTTGGCAGGACAAATGTATTTAATGTTTTGCTTGTTATATGAAATGTTATTCAAAATGCTTTGTAATTTAGGTGTGAAACAGCCTACAAATCTTACATTTCTCGCACCCGGGTATTTTTAGTCTTTTCAGGATGGAGTTTCTTTAATGTGGGACTGTATGTTTATGGGTGGGTGAAATATTTAGAAAAAGGAAAAATAATTGTGATTGGGGAGGAAAGGAAAGAGATGCCAAAGTAATAGACTTGGGGATGGCAGAGAAGTCAAATATCACATGTTATTGAGATGTTGAGGAAAAAGTGCTGGCATCCTGGACACGTTTCACACAACAACATGGATGATCCAGGTGGTAATGTCAAACACCTTAATTTCACTGTGCGTAGTGACTGTCCTGCAGGGGCTTTGCAAGTGACTAGCATGTAGTGACTAGCATGGGAAAGTCAGCCCTGAATACTTGCAACTTGACTGACAAGTTATGGTAGCGAGAGCATTAGGGTTGCCAAGTCCTTAGCATAAGAAGAGTGGGGAAGTCCTGTGCTGGCCCTGGAGTCCCTGTGTGCACGCAAAGCGTGCGCACGCCGCAATTACATCATCTGGAAGTGACGTAATCACGTTGGGGGCGGGACCACAATCATCCGAGGGAAAACCATAGAGCTTTCCCTCGGATGATTGTTGCCCCGCCCCCAATGTGCCCAATGTGATTATGTCACCTCCGGGTGATGTGCTCATGCCGGGCATGTCGTGCACTTTGAGGGTGGGGTTCCCCCCGGGGCCCGATCTGCTGGCGGCGGGTAACGGGCCTTTCGGGTGGGGGTTTCCCCACCCCCCGAGGGGACTTGGCAAGCCTAGAGAGCATGTTTTTCTTGGGCATCTTTTCAGGGAATACACAGTAATAGCTACATAAAAATGAAGGAGTAGCATTTTTAAATATGCAGAAACTTGTCTGTCTCAGATGAATTGCTAAAGAGTATTTCTTCAATTAAATGTAAAATAATGTTTTCTCTCTCCCCCCCTTTTCTCACTTCACAAAGACTTTTTCCAAGATCTAGAAAAATGGCAGACATTGACAAGTAAGTACATTCTCTAATTTGGAGTAAATCACAATTGTATTTATTCGTTTAGGAAATCTTTATGCTGCTCCGTAATAAGAGTTGCAGTAATTTTGGAAATGAGCCTTTGAAATGGGTTGGAGTAGTGACTATACAGGATTTCTGGTGGTCAGGACATAGCTTCATTGCCTAGCCCAACTGATATCTAGGATTACCAAATGCAAAATAAAATTAGCTAAATAAGTATATGTGAATCTGCTTAATTTTGAATAATTTATTGAGTATTTATTTTATTTATTCTTTGGATTTGTATCCCGCCCTCCCCGAAGGCTCAGGGCGGCTAACAAGGGCAAATGCCAGATTATAACAATAAAAACAATATAAATACAGTAAATACAGAATACTACAGTTGATTAAAATTAGTAAAAAATAAAATGTTGGTGCTCCAATACTCCAAATCATAAAACCAAGGTGGTGTTCTGAAGGTGTTACAGCTGAAGCACAACAGCAATATATGTCCCCACAACCCTGTCGTCCACTAGGGACGTCCTGCACCCCCGATGATACCCGCAACAGCGGTGGTAGAGTGCGGTGATGGAAAGGCGTTGATGGAATAATGGTGGCGGCGGCTCCACATACCAGGCTCCTACTTGAAAGCCTGGCGGAAGAGCTCCGTTTTACAGGCCCTGCGGTACAAGATCCCGCAGGGCCTGGATCTCTTCTTGGAGCTCATTCCACCAGGTAGGAGCCGCCACCGAAAATGTCTTGGCCCTGGGTCACAGCAAGTTTGATGGTCTTGGAGCCTGGAATATCCAGGAGATTTTGGCTCCCCGACCGTAGTGCCCTTGGGGGAACAAGCGGGGAAAGGCGGTATGTGGAGTTTTATTTTAGATATTTTATTTTAGATATTTTTTATTTTATTTTAGATATTTTAGATAAACTTTAAGAATAGCAGAAGTTCTTTTTTTACAGCACTAATTTTAAGTAGAAAAACCATTAAATTGTATACTGAACAGGTGGTATGCACACACTGTATTTAGATTTCTGTCCTATCTTATCCTGAGGGTTTGTGTTTAATGTTATCCTTTAAATGGTTATAATAAGAATGGGTTCCGGGAGGCAGAAAATACTAGCCATATCTGGGTTTGGAAAATGTAGGTGTCATGTAAAAGCACGTTTTCCCCCTTGCATACAAATTGCAAAATGGAGAACATTGCATGCCCTTGATTCCTGTCACAGTGAGTACAAGACGTGATTCACTCTATTTCTAGTGTATGTCTGAGGTATTGTTAAATGTGTCTAAATTCAGTAGTGTTATGTTTGTACCTGTCTCTTTCTTTTTCATCTTGGTCAGTAATGTTAAATCAGAAAGACAGTGTTGTCTTACCTCTTCGTCACAGTGTCAATCACAATTGCTTTTGGTGCTGAAAGTAAGGTAGTATGTATTGGGGAAAATGTAAAAAGTTCCTCAATTAGTATTCAGTATGCAAATAGCCAAGTACTCTGACCTGGATGGTTGAGGCCAGTCTGAAGTCTAAGATCTCGAAAGCAAGCAGGGTTGGCCCTGACTGGTATTTGGATGAGAGATCTCCAAGGAATACCAGGGTCGTGACGTGGAGGCAGGAAATGGAAAACCACCTCTGAACGTCTCTTGCCTTGAAATCCCTACGGGGTCAGCATACATCAGTTGTAATGTGACAGCACTTTCCACCACAAGTAGCCAAGTAGAGCTTGGATTGCAAATTCTATACGCATACTGTTCTCAGGTTTTTTTACACATTAAGAATATAAAAACCAGTGTCAGCTTGCAGAAGTCTGATACCAGTATCATTTATCATTCTTGGAGTGTGTTCTTAGAACCTTTAGGATGGACTTCTGAAGAAGAATTAGTGTGATGGAGATATATAGTATTCTGCCATTTTGATTCTGATTCAGAGGAGTCTGGCATGTTGCCTACTTGCTACATCTTTTAATTGATTTCTGTTGCAGAATGTGAACAGTTCCTGAAGACCTCATTCACTTGTTAACCAAGTGCAACCTTTTAACAAAATGCAGAACTCTGTGCATAATCCGTTTTATTTAGTTTAAACATTTTTGTATAGATTTCCCACCCAAGTAGGTCCCTTAAGGCAGTGGTCATCATAACATTAAACAATTTGAGACATTCAAACATTAAAAGTGTTTAAAATAAAGTATATTTTAGATGCTATTTTAATGTCCAGAAACAGGGCCTCCAAAGATGACCGGAGTGGATAGGTAGGGTCATTTGAGAGTAGGTGATCCTTTAGGTGTGCTGCCCCCAAGGCATATAGGGCTTTAAATCTATACTTACATAGGCAGTTGAAACGTAACACTGGAAGAGGCTTGTACTCACTTGATACCAAACAATGCTACTTAAAATTTAAGCAAAGATGGGAAGGAGAGGGAGCTACAGGGGATGAAGAATGAGTCTATAAGCCTGTAATGTATAGTGCTACTCTTGCTTCATGGATAGAACGAAGTATGAAATCATTTGCCCTTATGGTGGCTTCTTGCAGGTATAGATATTCATAACTATACCACTGCTACGGAGAAAGTTTACCCAAGGGCTGTGTATTATTACAGCAGCAGTTTCAACGACTTTAATTTCTCAGTATATTCCTAACTGAAATGTTGCCAGATCATATCTGAATTGGTAATTAAGAAAACCCAAATGCTCAAATCCTTTGAAGAAATTTAACCTTCTGGTTTGACTTGTATTTTAATAGCAAAGAACAGGCTGAACTTGACCAGCAAGATGAAGATGTTGAAGAAGTAGAAGAAGAAGAAACTGGAGAGGATGCCAACAGCAAAGGTAATGGTAAAAAAGCTGAGGCTGAATGTATTTAGCTGTATTGTGTCAATTATTCAAAAGATGCTTTCTCAGTTTAATATGAAACCAATTGTTAAAATGTTCACCTTCACCCATTCTTGCAAAAGAAAAAAACCAATTGATTGTTTAGTTTTCTAGAAAGAAGGAAAAGTGATACCCTCTAACTGAAAATATAAAAACCAGCAGCCGATCAAATGTGTCCCTTGTATCAGATGGAACATGTGGATCACTGGAAAGGCTGAAAGCAGAAAAATGTGATAGGCATCACAGTAACAAAACTGATCATTCAGTTGAATGATGAACTAGGTGGAAGTCCACTTCAGTGAAATTCAAACTGGGTAATAATACCTAGCGGCTCAGGCAAGAAACTTAAGTTCTACAGTACTCAGAAACTTACAGATGGTTCTTTGGGGGCCAGACACATGTTACTGTCTTAAAGAGTTGAGGAGCCCAGGCCCATCTCATGTTCCCTGCAGCCCATACAGCAGCTGTGGGGAATGGCTTCTGAGAAAGAAAGAAAACACCAAGTGGGCTTGGAATGGCTTCTCCCCCCCCCCCAGCTGTTTTCCTGTGTGAGAACCTTTCTGGGGGGAGTTATTTCTCTGGTTCTGTTCCACATGGAGTATCTGTGCGCATGAAGCAGCAAAACTGGGGAAATGGCTCCCCCAGCGCTGTTTTTGCACAGGAAAATAGCTTGTGGGGAGGCAGGAGCCCTTGCTCTCTTTGTGACACTGTTCTGAACCCATTTGGGCTCTCCTTTCTTTCATCTTCATCTTTTAAGCCATTCCTCACAGCTGCTGTGGGTAACGTGTTGGTCTGGGGAATTCTTTAAAAACAGTAATGTGTACTTTGGCCCTTAAATAGATTGTGAAGGATATTACATTTATTTATTTACTCAATTTCTCACCTATGGAAACCTGAAGTGGCTTATATAATTCTCCTGTTCTCCATTTTATCCTCACAACAACCCTGCGAGGGTGGGTTAGGCTGAGAGTATATCTGGCATAATGATAGCCAGCAAGCTTCTGTGGCAGAATGGTTTACAGGCCTTTTGGTTTTGGTTTTCTTTTGGGCCAGTATGGCTGCATAGTGAAAAAGGCAAACTCTGTACTGGATTATCAGTAAAGGATCTGAAAATAAAAAAGCATCATCTGGAGTACCATCTACAGTTCTGGTTGCCATATCTCAAAAATGGCGTTGCAGAGCTGTGTAAAAGAGGGCAGTCAGGATGATTAAAGGTTTGGAGCAGCTTTCCCATGAGGAAAGGCTGTGAAGAGTCTGGGACTTCTCAATTTAGAAAAGAAATTGCGAAGAGGGGGACGTGATAGACGTTTATAAAATGATGCACATGGTAGAGAGAGTGGACAGAGATAACTTTTTCTCACTCTCCCAAAATACTAGAACTTGGCACACGATAAAGTTTATGAGCTATAGATTCAGGACAAAAAAAAAAATGCTTCGTTACTCAATGAGCCATTAAATTGTGGAAGTCACTGCTGTTTGATGTAGTGATGGCCACAAGCACAGATATCTTTAAAAGGGGTTAAACAGATTAATAAAGGATAGGTCATAAGCAATGCTCCCTCTAAACCGTGGAGTCTTGTGAGCAAAAATTCTACTTTGTGAGCCACTGGCATTAAAGTTGTGAGTGAAGAATTTGGCTACTGTATAAATTAGTTTGCTCCGGAGCCATCCTTCCTGAGCTAAGATAAAAATGTGTGAGTCGGAGGCCAAAAAACTGTGAATTAGCTCACACTTAGCTTAGAGGGAACATTGGTCATAAGAACATAAGAGAAGCCAATGTTGGATCAGGCCAATGACCCCAGAGTTCCTATCTATACCTTGTGGCTAATAGCCATTGATGGACCTCTGCTCCATATGTTTATCCAATTCTGCTCCATATGTTTATCTGTCCATGCTTGTAGTCGCCACCACCTTCTGTGGCAGTGAATTCTCTGTGTTAATCACTCTTTGGGCGTATAAGACTACTTTTTAACCCAGGGAAATCTTCTCAGAAATTGGGGGGTCGTCTTATACGCTGGTAAATACGGTACTCTGGTCTTTCTATCGCTTTCAGTAGTACATGCTGTGCTTTGAGCGTAGCAAACAACCGAGAAACAAAACAAGTATATCCCAAACTCTATATTTTAACTGGAAAGGTTGGGGGTTGTCTTATACGCCCAGTCGTCTTATACGCCGGAAAATACGGTACTTCCTTTTATCTGTTCTATCCCAACTGCTCAGCAATTTCATTGAGTGCCCACAAGTTCTTGTATTGTAGGAAATGGAGAAAAGTACTTCTTTCTCTACCTTCTGTGTCCCATGCATAGTCTTGTAAACCTCTATCATGTCGCCCCTCAGTCGTCATTTCTCCAAGCTAATGAGCCCCAAGTGCTTTAACCTTTCTTCATAGGGAAAGTGTTCCAACCCTTTTATCATTCTAGTTGCCTTTTTCTCCATTTTTCCCCAATGCTATAATATCCTTTCTGAGGTGTGGTGACCAGCCCTTTAATGACTACTAGTTATTGTGACTAAAGGTATATTCTGAGACAGCAAACCTCTGAAAATCAATGCCAGGAGGCAACATTAGGGGAAGGCCTTGGACTTTGTTTATTGGCTATCCAGAGTAACTTGTTAGCCACTGTGAGAAACAGGCTGCTGGACTAGATGGACCACTTGCCCAATCCAGAAGGGCTCCTCTTACAGCATAAATATTAAATTCCCCACATTAATTACTAATATGGAGCCAGTTTTTCAGTTATTTTGCCAGTATTACTTAAGTTTCTTCCAACAAAGCTAGCTGTAATTTTGTTGATTAGTTGGAAATAGTTTGTGACGGGAATTGTAAGTTTTTGGAGCTTATATATTCTTATACTGAGCTGTCCAGTCTTCTTAAAATGTTTAAAGCATGATTTTGACCTGACCTGACAATTAGATTTGTTTGATAGCTGGTGATAGCTGTGTTTCTTTATCTAGAAATCAGTGTTAACATTTTGTGTCTGTTAACAAAAACCAGTCTGTTGGTGTATGACTAGATACATACTGCATTGGTATGATGTTTTAAAAATCTCCTTTTGGATTTATTTAGCTCGTCAGCTGACTGTACAAATGATGCAGAATCCACAGATCCTTGCAGCTCTTCAGGAAAGACTTGATGGCCTGGTTGGAACACCAACAGGATATATAGAAAGGTGAAGGGTTACACCATCTTCAGTCGTATTGCGGCCTTCTTGCTATCTTTTCCTCTTTGTAGAAAAAATAGCTTGCATTACATTTGTGTCGTCTTTAGTATAAAAATACATTGAAATGTTAATCAAGAGAAATTAATGACTGATATTTCAGAAAACTAAGGCTTTTGGTTGAAGACCACAACGGTTCCACAGGAGGTGGTGGCAGCTACAGGCATGGATGGCTTCAAGGGGGAATTAGATAAGCATATGGAGCAGAGATCCTTCAGTGGCTATTAGCCACAAGGTATAGATAGGAACTCTGGGGCAAGTAATGCACTGTATTCTTGGTGCTTGGGGGGGTGGGGGGCAACAGTGTGGACTTCTAGTGTTGTGGCCTCACCGATGGACCTCCTGATGGCACTTGATATTTTTGGCCACTGTGACAGAGTGTTGGACTGAATAGGCCATTGGCCTCATTAGCTTCTCTTATGTTCTTAGTTATACTAAACATTTTGGTTAGTTGCCTAGTTTACCTGCACTTTTGATAGCTAATCCGTGATGAACTGATTTTCAGGCTACTGTGCCATTTTTTCCTAGTAAACTTATAGTGCCATGCTGATGAATGGGTAACATACAGTTTATATCATGCAGTTTTGCATTCTTGTCAGGCAGTTTCTCCATTTTGTTTTGATTGGTAACACCCTTTGCCCTTTTTTAAAAAAAGAAGAAGTTTGAAACACCTCCACATAAAACTGAAAATATAGGAATTCGTTAACATGTAATGAGTTTCTGAATAATACTACCATATTAATATACTAATATTTCAGATTTAGCACTAGTGAGCCACCATTCCGTAACTGGTCAAACAGGCATGAGTTTTTTCTTGAAGGGCTGTATAAATATGGACTTTGCATTTTAGGAGTAATATTTGTACACAGTTTGGTGCTTTGTTTTAATTGGCCTGGCTTTTCCCCCCTCTTGTTGTAAAGATGCTACTCATTAGTTTATTCCATGGTGTTTCAAGAGCAAAAAATGATAGATTAGTGAATTATCTTGGTTTATAGACGAATAGGCATTTATGCCCTGCTTTTCAGCTAGATTGGCTGTCAAATATTGCTTATCCCGGTCCTAAATAGCCTTTGTAATAAACAAATGTATTCTAACTTTCTGACAATTGCTGATGTAACTTTTAGCAGTACTTCAGTACTGAAGGGGGGGGGGTTGGGGTTCCATGGCTTGGCCAAGCTTCAAATTTGCATCCCACTGTTTGAATAAAGTTTAGTATGAATGAAGTTATCTTAAAAAACCCTGTAGCCTACTTTCAAACTAAATTAACAAGTATAAAACGAAATCAGCCTTCAGTTTTACTGATGTCTTAATGACTTCATGGTGGTCCAGTTTTTTAAGATTCGCTCCTTCTGTCTGACACATTTGCACAGTAGCAATATTACAGATTTTGTCACCTATCACCATTGTAGCTTGTGTTCCAAGGCACTTTTATGCTATGTCAGTTCTTAAGTAATTGTGATTTTTAAAATAACATTGTTACTGCTGTGATTTTGGGGACAATGGATCGTCTGTGGTTTCTGTATGTGAGAGCTGCAGAATGATCACTTTCTCTCTCAGTTCAGGACATTTAACAATTATGCATATAAATAAATATCAAATGAAGTTGTAAACATACAGCTTTTTCTGACCCATCCTAGTTAAATATCAAAATGAGAAGTAGTGAGGAAGTAAAGCTGAATTTGATGTAAAGTGCATTTGATGTTTAGATTCAATACGTCAAGTAAAATGTTAATGTGAGAATGTTGTTCTACCAGTACCACTGTGTTATAGTATGTGTACATGAGTTTGATTTTTATTTGTTATATTTTGTTGAGGTAGTTTGCTCCATGTGCTTCAGTCAGGTAATCACATCCATTGGAGAAATGGAATATCTTGTCCTACAGAGCAGTGATGTAGTTGTTGTAGGAAATTAGCTCCAGTACACCGCTGTTGATAGGGCAACAGTGTTGTAGTATGTTGTAGTAGCTAAGGACCTAATTGCAGGAACCCCCCCCCCCCCCGCTTATTTCCTGTGCATGGTGTGGTGCCACTAGCAACTGCACTTCATCCCAGTGGACATACAGGGAGCACATCTGGAATCGTTTAATGGCTATCTGTAATGCCAGACAGCATAGTAAAAGGGGATAAAGATGACACAGACGGGACTCCATCAAGGATGCCCCAACATATTGTTGGCTATGTTTAATAGCCATTCTTCAGTCCCTCATTGAAACACTGTTCTAACCCTCATTGTCACCAGAATGCACACTCACTTTGGGATGTATTATATTAAGAAACCAAAGGTTTTAGATGTAGGAGAGCATATAAACTGCCAATAGTTGGATGCTTGGGTAGTCTACAGATTTCAGGGGGGCGGGAGATTTAGAATAATGTATTTTAAGATTTCCTCTTCCATTAAAATTGATTGAAACGGTATCAGTTGTTAACTGATGATCAGTGTGGAGTACAATTAATATATTAGTTGCATGAAGATCATAAACATTGTTTCTTGCTTTTTAGACCCCAGAGTAGTAAGAAAGTGCAGACTTCTAAAATTTTGCTTAAATGCTAAAATTTAATTTAAAACATTGAAAGAATACTTTTGTCTTGACAGGCCATTATGTCAGTCTAGGCTGTGCTATCAATGTGGAGATTAAAAAGTAATAGGAAACAGCTCAACCCAACTTAATTAAAGTAAGCTTCCCATTCTGAACAGGATATGACGTATCCCCTGGTATAAAAATGCTGTATAAAAATGCTATGTAAATTCCTCCCCCAGCTTGCCTAAAGTAGTAAAGAGACGTGTGAATGCACTCAAGAATCTTCAAGTTAAATGTGCACAGATAGAAGCAAAGTTCTATGAAGAAGTTCATGAATTGGAAAGAAAATATGCTGCTCTTTATCAGCCTTTGTTTGACAAGGTATGTGCTATGCTGCTTCTTGAAAACTTAATTTTAAATGCTAGGTACATGCAAGTGTTATTGGGTCAGCACTTCTGCAACTTGTATTTGTAAAAATATAATTTGGTAGTGTTTTGTCCTGTGATGGGTTTTGCATGTTTCAGGTAAAACTTAAAATCATGTTGACCTGAAAGACTAAACCATTAATCTTCCAGAGGAGTGAAATCATCAATGCAGTTTATGAACCTACTGAGGAGGAATGTGAATGGAAAACAGATGTCGAAGAAGAGATTTCAGTGAGTACCTGAACAGGATTTTAAAAAATCTCACAAAAGTTATTAGTCAGAAGCAGGGAGTGGTTAAAAGGCACATAATGCAGACCCTGCTGCAGTCAAGTAGTTATATGTCTGGTCAGTACCTGAGTGGGGGACTTTGTGGGAATATTACGTATGCTGTCTTGAGTTCCATGACAGAAGAAGGGTGAGAGGAGAAATGTAACATGGTTTCTTAGTTGTTTGCCTGTTTTGAAGGCCATGAAAACAATTTAGCCAGAAAACGTTAGATGGTAAAATACTTTCATTCCCTCTTTGGGCCTTTAAAAAGATTTTTAACAGTCTTCAATATTAAGGTGCCTATTGTAAAACTAGAACTGTTGAGTAGTTGACCTGGTAGGACACAGATTAATGTTTTTATGTCCATGATGGGGGCTGGAATGAAACATATCTTGATTGGTGGGCAACTCTCCAATATTAGAAAGAGTAACTTCTTAATTTTAACAAGGAGGAAATGAAAGAGAAGGCCAAGCTTGAAGAAGAGAAAAAAGATGAAGAAAAAGATGATCCTAAAGGAATTCCTGAATTTTGGTTGACTGTATTCAAGAATGTTGATTTGCTCAGTGATATGGTTCAGGTGAGGTGAAAAAATGAGTAACACTTTGAAATGGGTATGTTAACTGGTTTGAACTTTTTAAAATCTTGGGCAATTGGTCATTACTGAGGGTGGGGTTTTTTTTGCTGTAATTCACTTTTAATTTATAGAATATTTTATCGGTAGTGACTTTCCAGAATACATCTAGAAAGAATGGATTACTTGTCTGTTTCTAGGTGTGAATATTGCATTGTGCATCATTTCCTTAAGATCAATATGATCAAAATTTTATTCCATAAGAACAGAAGAACTCTGCTCATTTGGAAACAGCTTGCTCATAATGGCCACTCTGATGCCTTTTGAGAGCTAGCCTACAAGGAAGGCATGAAGGCAACAGCTCTCCCTTATATTTCAGCATCTAGTATTCAGAGGAATGGTGCCTCTGAGCCTGAATATATAGGATCTGTTTAGCTTTTATAGCTGTTAATTGACCTGTCTGCCCATTATTTTTGCCAAATTCTTTTTAACCCCTCCTCGGAAAAAAAACTAACAGTGATTGTCATAGTCTGTAAGGGAACTTTGCGTTGTGTGAAATAGTACTTTTGTAAATCTGCTGTCTTATCAACTTTATCAGGTGACTAGGAGAGAAATTCTAAGCAGAGTTACACCCTTCTAAATCAGTTGACTTCAGTGGACTTAACAGTGTGTAACACTCCTTTGTCCACTGTCCTTGAAGTCCTTCCTCTACCACTACTGCGTAGCCCTGAAGTTTGTACAGTTGCACCTCTGGCTTCTGAGATTCCACCAAATATTGTACACACATTTGCAACCTACTTTGTAGGCATAAGAAATGCAATGTAAAAAGAGAATTGGCATTTTCAGGAAGCAGCATCCACGCCCAGTATTACATTCTGTATTTGCATGTGGTATTGGCACACACACTCTCGCCTTATTATGGAGCATGAGATTGAAATGTCACCTGCTTTTCTTTTTGCAAAAGCTATGTTCATGATTTATAATGAGAATTATTACACACTAAAATGTGACTGTTGCCACTACCTGGTGAATTACCTATGACAATATAGTATTTTAATTTGAAATGCTCATTCCAGATTATTTGTATTCTTTTTCTGTTGCTCTGTTTTTATTTTTGTAACTGCTTTAAATAAACTCTGGAAAACATTAATTGCAATTTTACTTTAAAGGAACACGATGAACCTATTCTGAAAAACTTGAAAGATATCAAAGTGAAGTTTTCAGAGGCTGGGCAGCCAATGGTAAGCTCTTTTGCTTGGAATACATTTTTAAATTTGGGCACAGCTACGTGCTCTTTGTGTATAATTTGCTTGTGGAACACATCTAAATTATGTAGTCTGTTCTGTGCTTGCTGTGTTCCTCAACTTCATAATGCAGTTCATTTTGCCATGAAAACTCAGTATGTGAACTGCCCCCATTGAAAAGCATCATTTGAGGTGTTACTTTAAGAGTCTGTATAATGTCTGTCTATTAAGATCTTCGATTGCACATACATTAATCTTGTCAAGGCTAACTAGGTTCCTTGCTTAAACAAGGTTCTTAACCTGCTTCAAGCCATGCAATCCCTGCTTGTGCCCTCTGCCCCGAGCACCTGGTTGGCTACTGTGTGAAGCAGTATCCTGGATTAGATGGACCTCTGGTCTGATGTAGCAGGGTTCTTATGTAATCCTGGCACCCTTTTCTAAACCCCAGTATATAATCTGGTCTTGTTCTTGAGTAAAGAACTATTTTGTTAAATTGGGCACTGCCATATGGACTGAGCCATACTGATGCTGGTGGAGTGCACGTTCTTTTAAGAAGGAAGGGTGGAAAGTTTGAAACTAGTGATCTGATCTAATATACAAAATGACTAATTTAGAAGTCGTCAAAAGGGCAATACAGGGAATCATGAAGCTATAGTGAGGAGGAGATCTCCTCTCCTCCCTCTAATGCTATAGCAGAAGCTGGCAGCATCTGTCCATGGTTTTGCATAGATAAACAAATCCATTGTATTCAGCTGATAAATATAAATATAACTTTCTCTAAAAGTGCACAACAACACTGTTACATGTTTTACTGGCAAGTACATCTTGCTTTTCTGGACTGCAGTTGAGACTAATGATGCATCATTCAGTTGTTTCTGACACTGCCATTCTAATTTTTTTAAAGACATTTACATTAGAATTCCACTTTGAACCTAATGAATATTTCACAAATGAAGTGCTGACAAAAACATACAGAATGAGATCAGAACCAGATGATTCTGATCCTTTCTCCTTCGATGGACCAGAAATTATGGGTTGTACAGGGTAAGTATACTATTATAGTATAAATTTGATAGTCTCTGGTGGTGTCTTTCTGAAAGTGTGTTATTTAGGTCACCCAGAACTCTGGTTTGACTGTACCTGGGTTGAGAATTTTAGGTGAAGAGAAACTGCTGAAGTCATGTTAACAAAAACATTGTATCTTTTCATTCAGATGTTGCTTTCTACCTAGTATGTAGTAAACTAGCAAAGATGATCATATAAGTGTGTGTGTGTGTATATACATGCATGCATGCAGTTTGGTAATAGAATTTTCTCTTAGGTGCCAAATAGACTGGAAAAAGGGGAAGAACGTTACTTTGAAAACCATCAAAAAGAAACAGAAGCACAAGGGACGTGGAACAGTTAGAACAGTGACAAAAACGGTTTCCAATGACTCTTTCTTCAACTTTTTCTCTCCTCCTGAAGGTAAATAGTGCTTTGTTTTAATTGTAGTGTGATGTCACTTAAAAAAGAAAACACTAATCCCACAATTTATTTATATTCTTACAGTTCCAGAAAGTGGAGATTTGGTAAGTTCCTTTTAGTTTATTTTCCTCTTAAAATTTTTTTGGGGGGAGGGAATCAATAAATGCAGCAGTAAGTGATAAATTTTGGCTTACCTTGAGATGCAACTGAAATCAGTGGTAAAATAAGGAAAATTAAATGTTATGCACCGTAGATCACAGGTTCACTGACCTTACCAAAAGAAGTCTAAGGATTGATTAAAATGGCTTTCTTTATTTGAGCTTTCATGGAAACACACCTCACATCAAAGAAGCCATTCGTAAGCATTAATGTGATTGTATTTGCCGTTTATGAGAGCAAACGTGGACGGCCAAGGTCACTTGGGTGAATAAAAATTAATGAAATCTTCAGATTCCATATATGCGTTCAAATAATTCGAATGTCAGTAAATTCATCAGCTTAGACTAGCTAAGCAGGGTTGGCCCTGGTTAGTACTTCACTGGGAGACCACTGTGGAAATACAGGGTTATTCCACAGAGGCAGGCAATGGCAAACCACCTCTGAACACCTCTTGTCTTAAAAATCCTATGGGGCTGCCATTGCAATTGAAAAGCTGTGTATCATTTGATAGTTTAAGTTTTTATTTAATGTAGAATGCTATGGTGACTAAAGAAATGATTGGTAGTGGGCAAGAAATGGCAGCTGGTGGCCAGAGCTACAGAGTAGAAGACAGTCCTGCCCAAAAGCCCCTTGAGGGGGTGGAGAATTGCACATGGGAGGTAAACACTTCTAGAGATATGCAGTTTTTACTTGTGGGTTTGTATGACATTAATTCAGTTCAGCTTCAGACTAAAATCAAGCTATTGAGCTTCCAAATGAATGCTGAAGGCTTCAGACAATGAATTAGTTGTGCAGTCAGCTGTACAGATTAAATGGGAAAACTGGATTGTATGTAAAAATAATATATTTTCTAAAGACAAATTTATGAACCAGAAATTCATATACTTGTGCAGGATGATGATTCTGAAGCAATTCTTGCAGCTGATTTTGAAATTGGTCACTTTCTACGCGAGCGCATAGTTCCACGATCAGTATTGTATTTCACAGGAGAAGCCATTGAAGATGATGATGATGATGTAAGTTATGCTTGTTCTTAGCTTTTTGAAAATTACCTTGATTGCTGGTGTTAGCCCTAAACTGAACCACAGTTCAGCATGTAGTTAACTTGCATTTGTGTCTCACAATTAATGAGACATGGGAAAGCATTGGATTCTGCATCTTGCATCCGATGTTGAATTTGAGCCTGAGCTGAACTTCAACTTGTTTCCGCTGCTAGGGCTTCTTTCTAGAATGTATGAAATAAGAACAGGGAAATATACAAGTTTCTTTTCATTCTAGTGACTAGTAGACACAATTATTAGAGATATAAAACATCTCCAGAATTAGTGTTCTTAACTTTGGGGACAAGTTGGGCTCTGACACACACATATGCTGCCACCGCCGACATGCACATAATCACATCTTACATTTATGCCCCGTGCTCAGTTTATAAAACTCATGGCTCCTCAGAAATATGTATCTATTCAGATTCTGCAGGCCAGTTTAGGTGTTTCAATTTAAAGTATTTTGAATGGTAAAATAAGGAGTTAAACTGTTAAAGGCATTCTTTAGCATTCTGAGCACACTCTCTTGAATTCCAGGCTACCAGTGTTGTTTGGAGGGTGGGGAGACTAATTTTGGATAGGGAACTAGTAGCTACAAGTTTTCCCAGTTGTTCTAATTATTTTTTAGAATGGAATAAATGTACTGAAATGATTGCCTGCCAATAAGATGTCAACTTCAAAAAAGAAGAAGAAGAAGAAGGCATAATTTGAACTATTTAAGGGATGTTGCTCCTTCAAACTGAAAATTAACTTCTGAATCTTCCTTTAGTGGTGCAAGTAAAGTAATCAAATAAAAAGGTTTCCCAGATGTACGATCAAATTTTTGATCTTGTTTTTAATTAAAACACTACATTCCTGTGTTCTCTCTTGTGGAACAGGTGATTGCAATATAACTTGGGCAGCAGAACGTAATGAATGCAGTTCAGCCAAAGGTTTTTATTTTCTGCTTGCACAAAAAGGAAAACCTTACTGTTCCTTGGACAATAGGTATTTTGAGAGTTCAGAGACAGGCTGTATATGTGGCACTTGGTGCCAGTGCTAGAACACTGTGTGTGTAAATGGGAAGATGACACCCTGTTAATGCATTCATCCTTCAGCTGTTCTGTTATGTGTGTTTTGTCCTCTGGTGTAAGCACCCAGTGGAAATCTTCACAAGAAGCAACCTTTAAATGTAGATGTGGTTAACAAGAGAGAGAGAGGGAGAAAATGCAGATAAGGTGAATAACATTCTAGTAGAAGATAGAGAGATAACAGCCATCTGGTCTACAGTTAGACCCAGATGATTGAATGTGATACCACACTTTGTTGGCCAAATAGCAGTTTGAAATCTCTTAGGTGTATAAGATTATCAGTCCTTAATATTTTAACATTTTCAGACTAAAATATGTAGTGTTATGTTTTCCAGTGTTATATTTAGCATTGAATGATATATTACATAAGCCATAAAGACTTCAGTCTTTGACTCTATTACACATTTGTATTGTGATTGCATAAAACTGAATTGAGTGTAATTCACTACATTGTAGTATTAATTTCTTTAACTAAGGTTTAATCCTTCAATTGAGACAGACTACTGTTTCTCTGAGTGATGAAAACTTCACTTGAAAAATATGGTGCCAATTCTGTGAAAGTTGGCAAGATGTCACGTGAGCTGGCTTTAGGCCCAGAATGCTGTCGTTTACACAGAACAGCTTAAGTATGTTGTAACAGCTGTTCAACTTTTCAGTTCTTCCCACCCCTCCTGTAATGTTCTGTCAGATGTGGAATTTTTGTTTACTAGTTTACCAGTTTTCTGTCCAGATATGAACTAGGTTTGTAGCCCTGATGAAGAAGAGAAATTGCAGCTGTAAAGTAGTCAGGATTATGCTTCAAATATGTAGAAGCTTCCAGTATTTTTACCGAATGTTAATTGTGTGAAGGTTAGCGTTAGACGTACAGAAATAGTTGTAGTCCTAAGACTTATTTGTCCAGTGGCTTCTTGTATGCTGTTCTACTACTGACACACACACCCTTTTCCACTTTCCCAGTATGATGAAGAGGGTGAGGAGGCAGATGATGAGGTAAGTTGCAAACTTGTCAAATTTAAACATTAGCAATGAACAAATTCTTCTCTTCCTTGTCCCCAATCTTTAATTGTAATTGACTTGCTAGTTACAATTCCATTACCAAATGTTTTTAAAAGCCCTTTATATCGAGAATTCTGAAGGCTACAGTATAATGTAAAATAGTATTCTACAGAAATCCAGAGTGTGTGGCTAATTTAAACCTGTTTTTGACCTAATCAGAGATATGATGGTTGCAGTTCATGCAGCTAAGCAAAAGCCCCTGGAAGATGATTTTTAAAGCTCCACAAATGGGCAAGTTAGAGAAGCTCTGGGAGGGACGAAGAGAAGATCTGTGATCCCTGAGGATTAACCTACACTCTAGAAAACTTCCTTGACCTAATAGCCAGTGACTAGTGCAAAGACTTTCAGGAACCACTTTTTTGGTCCACCATAAGTTCAATAAATGCCATGAGGAAAATAATCAAGGATTGCATATTTTTTACTTTAAGGCTGCAGAACTCCCTTGACCTGGCTCACAGTTTGTAACCTTGACAAAACCACCTATGTTTTTTTTTTGGGGGGGGGGGTGTTTAGTACTGCGGGAGCTGCAACTGGTGTCTGAGACAAAAATAAGCTTCACCTAGCTGTTCTGTGCACATGCAGCATGTTAATGCTACATTTTGAGTCATTTTAGAAATTTTCAAAGGAATGGTGATGCTTGGCACTCTTTCAAGCATTATAAGTTAAACAAATCCATATTCCAAACCAGGTAGTCATGACTAATTATAAACACATAAATTTCAATTTGTTGTTAGTTGGTTTAAGTATAGCATTCATATGTTTCATGGCAAAATGGGGCACAAATACACTAATGAATAATGGGAGTATCCTCTAAACGTTCTCCACACACACCACAAAGCTCAAGTAAAAGTACAGTTGCTACATATATAGCTTGTATGTTTCAGGAAGGGGAAGAGGAAGCAGATGAAGAAAATGATCCCGATTATGACCCTAAAGTAAGTGATCACTGAGTACATGCCTTGACAGTAGCATTTGGAAACTTTGAAATACAGAGGCTCCTGTTAGCACACTTGCTGTGTTCACACTGACTTGTCCTTTTTCTTCAACAGAAGGATCAAAACCCAGCAGAATGCAAGCAGCAGTGAAACAGTGTGTATGTGGCCTTGAGGATTATCTGCACTGTAATAGCCTAAACACAACTATTAGTTACTTACAGCCTTATGTTTTGTATCTTGGTAGAATTAAGTGAACATTTTGTTAAAACAAACTGACAGAACCAGTTTAAAATGTAGGTTCCTTGTACCTAGCATTTTAATAGTACTTTTCTGCCAATATGTAGAATGCAGTAAATCCCTAAAGCATGAATAGTTAATTCATTGCTATATATAGTTTGGTTCTTGTGAAGTCTGTTGTCATGTAGCTATTAGACTGCAGCTGTGAAGATACCAGAACTGTTGACGGAGACCAATATTTGTTTAGAGAAGATCCTTTCCTGAAGAACCAACCAAAGTATTTTTCAGCCCAGTAGTTGAAATGGGTGTAATTCTGCTTGCACTAGCTGTGCCTTCATTACTTTGTTATAGAAATGGCAGTGACTTGTACTAATTAGGAGATGGATGCATTTTTGAATTTGATTATATCCATATAATCTGTTAATATCCATCAAGACCACACTGAACATTCATAACTGTCTGCTTGTTTATGCTCTAGGTTTTTGTATTTTGTGACAGTGACCTACAAAACAAAACAAAAAAATCAAAAACAAAAATCAAAAACAAAACAACACTAGAGACATCATAATAAGGTTGTTTATCACTGGGGTGTGAATAAACCTAGTATTTTCAGAAACTAGTTGTGTCCCTGGGTAAATATATTTTTCTGGTTTTATCAATAACAAAAATAGGCTTGAGAGCTGTGGGGAGTACTGTTAAACAGGCATCCAGGAGTACCTGGCCAAATCATGGAAATGCCTGCAGTGGTTATGTCCTTGCACCATTCACGTTAATACTTGTAAGCCTTGCATAAATGATTTCAGAGGGCTTTCCAATAGGTTTCTAGTGTTGCTCCCCCCCCCCCCCCCCCCCCCCCCCCAGTTTTTCTTCTCCTGGTTTTTAATTCATTGTCAGCCTCTTACAGCTTGGATTCAAATAGTGTTTGACATCTTTATAACCTTAGAGGAACACAGCTTTGTGCTGCTGAGAAACCTATCAAAGATGTTTTCTTTGAAGATCATTTCTTGTCAAAAAATAAAATATTTTTTAAAAGATCATTATGTGTCCTTTTCAGAGCCTCTGGTTTTGTTTACTAGAATGAGGCTATAAGGGCAGGGTTCTTGTCTCTAGCATGTTGAACAGATGATAAGGATCTGGAGTAACTCCTTAAAAGAAGCTTCTAGTAGTTTTTTTACTTTACATTTACACAGAGGTGTGTGTATAATGCTTAAGGGCCATTTCAGCCAACTCCCCAGAAGTGCCTCAGCCAGCAATAAAGTGACAAACACCGGCAAAAGCGGAACTTATTTTTATCTTCCAATTTTGGCGTGGCAAGTTTTGAGCTTTTTTTTTAAGTTCACTTTTAGACAGTGCAGCAAGAGAAAATGTAGCTGATGTGCTTGCCCCACATTTATTACAACATCTGTTTTGGTATTGGACAACCTCAGATGTGTCCTAGTTACCCTGGGCTTACTAATAATCTACGCAAATGTGGAAGAGGCATTGACATATTCAAAACTGGACATACTACTTAATCTGGCCATAGTTTCAAAATGAGTCTAACTCATTGTCATGACTGGAGATTTACCCATTTTAATGGTATGGAAAGTGATTTTTTTGATATATGATTTTGTTGAAATAAATACAATAATCAAATGCTTCTTCAGAGAATGATTTTTAAACTATGCTGGTTATGATCCAGAGGCTTGTAGAGAAGCCTCAGAAGTTCCGGGAGGTTGTACACAGTTGTTCGGGTGTATGCAGTGGAGTCTTTAAGTCTCGGCTGTTTTTACACAGCCTCTAGAACTGTCGTTCTTATTTGAACATTGAGGCAAATGTTTTTATACTGAAAGCACTGAAGCAGCAGCAAACATAATTTTAGCTATCTGGTAACTTGTTTCTCCCAACAGTTAATTTTTTTGCCTTTGTAAACATTCAGGAAGTGGTCATTAGATTTTTGGATCTTGCTTGGATCTTGACCAAGAATTCTTTCCTCCTGGGATTCTCCCTGTTTGTGGAGGTACTCAGGGCTATTATCTGAGCTGTGTACAGCAAGAGCAAAGCTTCCAGAATTAATGACATACAAGAGCAGAAGTGGGTGCAGAAACCGCTTCAGTTGAACCAGACAAACTAGTTGGAAAGGCTTTAATAGTTTTGGAGAGAAGAGGTGGGGTGAGTTCAAGAAATTAAGGTATCATTCTCAGTACAAGCTCCTCCTAGTTCACCTATAATTCCTCCCTAAAGTAGCAATTAGATTGTTTCTTCTAGACTTCCTACATGCAGAAACACATTCCTTGCGACTTTGCCTGAGGCCAGTAAATACTATATTCCAACTAATGTGAACAATTAGCACAGTCTTTATAATCTTTTGCAGGAAGAGCCTGAGCAAGATGTAGATAAAAGATGAACAAAGCAGGAAGTCAAACTATTAAAAATTGGAATTTAGTTCAGGTTCATCAGCATTTCTTAACTTGTAGTCTGGTAATTTTATCCACTCTGAACTCTATTTGAACCAGGCCAATTCCAACACATTTCATATGCCAGGTTAATATGAATTTCAAACCTTGAAATGTGATCACTATACAATAAATACTATGACAACCATTTAACTTGTGGAATAATTTTTAAATGTGTTTTTACATATTAACAAAGGGGGGGGGGGGTGCCTGACAAGTAGAAGAAGCAGGAAGTGCAACAGGTTCTCCATTGTGTGAAAGCACTCTCGGTTTGTAACTACATATGCAAAAACAGCTGTCCTATTACTAAAGGTGCTACAAAATGTTCTTGCACTATAAATGTAGTATATATGGCAGGGGTAAATAGGTGGAAACCATTATTAAGGAAAGAATTAGTAGGCACATAGATGAACAAAACCTATTGAGGCAGACTCAGCATAGGTTCTGTAAGGGAATATCTTGTCTCACTAACCTGTTAATGTTCTTTGAGGGGGTGAACAAACATGTGGACAAGGGGGATCCAATAGATATTGTTTACCTTGACTTCCAGAAAGCTTTTGATAAAGTTCCTCATCAAAGGCTCCTAAGTAAGCTCAAAAATCATGGGATAAAAGGACAAGTCCTTTTATGGATCAAAAACTGGCTAACAAACAGAAAACAGAGAGTGAGTATAAATAGGCAGTTCTCTCAGTGGAGGGGGGTAAGCAGTGGGGTACCGCAGGGATCAGTACTTGGTCCACTGCTTTTTAACTTGTTCATTAATGATTTGGAGTTGGGAGTAAGGAGTAAAGTGGCTAAATTTGCGGATGATACGAAGTTGTTCAGGGTGGTGAAAACTAGTGAGGATTGTGAGGCACTCCAAAGGGATCTGTCAAAGATGGGCAAGTGGGCGTCAACATGGCAAATGGGGTTCATTGTGGCCAAGTGCAAGGTGATGCACATTGGAGCCAAAAATCCTAAATATAAATACACGTTGATGGGGTCTGAACTGGCAGAGACTGATCAAGAGAGAGATCTTGGAGTTGTAGTAGATAACTCACTGAAAATGTCGAGACAGTGTGTGACTGCAATAAAGAAGGCCAATGCTATGCTGGGGATTATTAGGAAGGGTATTGAAAACAGATCAGCCAATATAATAATGCCCCTATATAAATCAATGGTGAGACCTCATTTGGAATACTGTGTGCAGTTCTGGGCACCACACCTTAAAAAGGATATTATAGCTTTGGAAAAAGTGCAGAAAAGGGCAACTCGAATGATAAAAGGGTTGGAACACTTTCCCTATGAGGAACGGTTAAGGCGCTTAGGGCTCTTTAGCTTGGAGAAATGATGACTGAGGGGTGACATGATTGAGGTTTATAAGATTATGCATGGGAAAGAGCAGGTAGAGAAAGAGGTACTTTTCTCCCTTTCTCACAATACAAGAACTCGTGGGCACTCCATGAAACTGCAGAGCGGTCGGGTTAGAATGGATAAAAGGAAGTACTTCTTCACCCAAAGAGTGATTAACACATGGAATTCACTGCCACAGGAAGCGGTGGTGGCTACAAGCATGGACGGCTTCAAAAGGGAATTAGATAAGCATATGGAGCAGAGGTCCATCAGTGGCTATTAGCCACAAGGTATAGATAGGGGCTCTGGGGCAAGTGATGCTCTCTGTTCTTTGTGCTTGGGGGGGTCAACAGTGGGAGGGCTTCTAATGGCCTGGCCCCACTGGTGGACCTCCTGATGACACTGATATTTCTGGCCACTGTGTGATACAGAGTGTTGGACTGGATGTGCCTTTGGCCTGATCCAACATTGGCATCTCTTATGTTCTTATGGGTGTCAAACATGTGGCCCGGGGCCCAAATCAGGCCCCCAGAGGGCTTCTGTCAGGCCCGCAGTGGAATTGGCTGTCTTCTGCTGCTGCTGCGTCATTGTAGGTTTGCAGCTTACAGATACACTCCTGAACAGCATACTCAAGATTGCAACAGCACAGACATTTAGATGCAATAATTCAGAGGAAGAGGTGTCAGTTATCAGACACTGTTAAATAAACAAAATGTTGCAAGAGTGCTGATGTTTTAAGCGTGTTTTTATTTTAAGTAAAAAAAACACCTTTGTGTTTGTGTCCTTTATAAAGTTTATATCTCTGCTACCTGGCATTACATTTTATGATACACATGGCCCAGCCCAATGAGGTCTCATTTATGTCAGATCCAGCCCTCATAACAGATGAGTTCGACACCACTGATATATGGGCACCTCTCATTTTCCCATTCTTCCCTATGGAGATATTATGCTTTTAAATTGAACATTCTTTGATCCTGTGTTAGGTTTTCCTCTTAACAGATTTGCTCCTGATGCAAGTTTTTATGGGCTACACCCCATTTTATCAGATGTATGAAACAGAGGAGGGGTTGGGGGGAAGTGTTTGTGAGGCTAAAAGGCCAAGCAATGTGAGAGAGCAGTGTGCTACATTGTGATGCAAAACACAAATGGAGCCAGATCTTAGGCTTGACACTAGAGGGCATCTGTGTGCCACAGTTTTCAGTAGCAAAATAATTGCATGGTTTGTCCACATGTGACTGTAAAGGTTCAGCCAGGATTACTAAAACTCTAGTATGCTGCACTACTCAGATGTTGCAAAAGAACACCTAATTGTGCCAGAAGGAACTGCAAATGCTGTTCTACTGAGAGTAGATGTTTACATAGAAATTGATTTTTTAACTATAACAAATAGGATTAAGTATTTTTCTAGTCTTTCAATAAGTCTAAGTATCTTTCTAGTCTTTCACATATTAAGGGAACATAAATGGCTGGCTCGAATGTATGCTGCACCTTGGGTACTTACATTTAAGTGACATAAGAGACTATTGTGAATACAACATTGGTCTGCTCCAGTCATTACAACAAAGCTTCATGTAGCTATGTAGTAAAACTTGTTCGGTATTTGGGCATCTCTAAGAGTGCTTCAAAAGTTAACTGGTCTATTAACTTTTTTTGGTGCAAGAACGTCTAATTCAGCTACAACAATTAAAACATTTATATTCCACCTTTCAGCTTGGTTCAAGGCACTACGGGAAGGAAACCTCTTTGTCCCTATAGAACTTGAGGCAACTAGGTCCACTGCAACTCTGGACAAATTCCCAAGAGAAAGTGTTTGCCACCTTCCCTCTATCTCTGTTCGACAATCCAAGGCCCTCCGAAATCCATCAGAAGTAGGGGTTGGGATGACAAGGCTGGTATTATTCCTCCTTGTTTGAATTTGCAGGTACATCATGGAGTTGGTAGCAGTTTTGTAGATTGTGGGCCATTGAGCCATGCTGCTTGGCCCAGCCCTGTACACCTGGAGCTTTCCCAGAATGCTTCCATACTTCAGAACTACCCTCTACTGTAGCAAAGGGATGGGCTACCTATGATGGGGATTAACAATCTGCCTCTAGATTATTTTACTAGAAGGTGTGGGGGGGGGGCTTACACAAATTAGATTGCACCAATAGCACTATGGCAGTAGGTCTAAATCCTTTCCTTGTTTTCCTACGAATTGGGAGGGGTGATTACAAAATGGGTTAAATTAGTCATGCTAAAATCAAACTTGTAATGACTTCTTCAGTGAGATGTAGCTCAGCAAGACTTAAGTCCATTAACCCCTTTAAAGACCAACAAGATTTCAAAAGTATAAGCTTTTGAGAGTCAACGCTCCCTCCCTCAGATACCCTTAATCTCTAAGGTACTATTGGGCTCAAATCTTGCTCTTCTACTCCAGACCAGCATGGCTACCCACTTGAAATTATACTGGAGACCGATACGTTTATCCCTTAGCTTAGGTGCATGTAATTGAACTGACTGCATGTTCCATTGCCCTTGCAGTTCTTTTCATCCCTCTTCCATGTTGAATTTTAGATTGTAAACTCCTAAGGCGTGGACTGGACCTGTCCTTATGTATAGCTCCAAAGGGTACTGATGTATTAGATGTAATACTGTGAGAAACAGTCACATGCAAGTGTCAGAACTTTGTTTTAAAATGTTCCATTAATGGAGCTATATCAGTGCACGATTTGCTTCTCTAACGTTGCTGCCTTCTAATTAGCTTCTGTTGAGCTTTTTGGCGCAAGAGGAGGATAAAAATGGTTAGCTAGGTGCAGGAATGGTGATCCATGCCAGCCCCACATAGTTTTGGACAAGTAACCTGGTTGGCTTCTGATACTTACATTTTTTTTAAAAAAAGCATTAACGTGTCTCTAGGACTACTTTTCCTCATATTACAAGAAGTCCTAATCACGAATTCCTTTTCTGAATCATTTCACAACCTTGGAGGTATGTGGTAACAAGAATGGGTGTATCCTCTATACCAGTCTCTGTAGTGACTGGGCTTTTCATGTTTCTGTAAATACTGGTTTTATGGTCTTTGAGCAGTAGAAGGAAGCCTTGTGTGACAGCTCCTGGAGAGGCATCCGCTCTTGAACACATGGATATGTTTGTTTAAAGTGCCTTTTTAATAATCTACTAACAGTAAGTGCTAATTGATGTGGTATAAATGGGAGTGATGAAGTAAGAATAAGGGCAGTTTAGTGCTCTAAAACCCAGACCAGCTGCTAGTGAAGAGGCAGCAGGAACTGTTTCTTGCCACCTCTCAACATTCCAAGCAAAGGTGGGTGAACATATTTCAGATCCTTTGAACAATGAGCTTTGTAGCTGATCTTGATGGCCTGGTTAGCATATGGGAGAATGACCTGTCAGAATAGACTACCATGTCAGATTGCACATAATAGGATCCCAGTTTGGCACGCTCCCCTGTGTATTGGACCCCCCCCAATAAAAGCTAGCACAGCAAAAGGCGGGTAGAACCTTCCTGTGTGCTTCTCTAGTTTTTCATTTGCAGAGTGTCTATTAGGAAAAGCCTTCCAGGACTGCCGATAGAGGGGGACTGGAGGAGCAAAATTTAGGTGACCCAAGTCAGCTGAAGGGCCCTTGAAGCCAGCCTCATGCTGCATCCTGCCAAATATCTTTATTTTAATGCAGTTCTTGCTGCAGTCACTAGGGGTGCAGGGAGGTCTGAGCACAGTAAAAGGCACTCCACTATCAGCTAGACTTCCCTTTCTCCAGGACTGAAGTGAACCTGCCTAGCATGGTAAGGTAAAGGTAAAGGTTCCCTTGCTCGAAAGCCAGTCGAATCCGACTCTAGGGTTGCGGTGCTCATCTCCGTTTCAAAGCCGAAGAGCCAGCGCTGTCCGAAGACGTTTCCGTGGTCATGTGGCCAGGATGACTAAACACCAAGGCGCACGGAACGCTGTTACCTTCCCACCGAAGTGGTACCTATTTATCTACTTGCAATTTCTTGCTTTCGAACTGCTAGGTTGGCAGGAGCGGGAACTAGAGACGGGAGCTCACTCCGTCATGCGGCAACCCGGGTCTTGAACTGCTGAACTACCGACCTTCCACAGCCTGCAGTTCAGCGTCTTAACCACTTGAGCCACCACAGCTCCTCTAGCATGGTAAACCCATCAACTAATCCAGCAATGGAGCAAGGCAAGCAGCCCCTGCTGATGGCTGCTACAGTAATTCTCGGCCTGCAGCCTGCTAACCGGGGTCATTTTCTATAATAGTCTAGCCTTTTTCTTTGCACCCAGCTCAGCCAGATCTTGCAAAGTGGTAGTGTTGCAGCGAGATAAAACAACCTCTCCCTCTCCTTTCCTTAATTTCTCTCCTCATTTCCATACATTCCTCCAGCTTTATTTTCACTTCTTTGTCTCAAGACTTTTATATTCCTATCCTGCTTGGTGACAGAATGTATTTAAGAGTAGTATAGTTGCAAAGTTTTGTTAATATTGACCAGAAGGGAAGAGGGGAAGAGTTAATATTTCCCCATGACCTAACAAAGCAGCGAAAGTATGCTTCCCCCCCCTCCACCTCCCCCCTTTACATGCATGATAATGGAACATGAATCTATTGCAGTGTTGGTGGAAGATCTGATAGCCCTTTGTAAAGGCTAATTTGCTATATGACAAATGATGTAATCTTTTTAGTATTAATACAAAAATTTGATCTATAACAAATACCTTACCCAGTCTTTCTCCTCAGTAGGGACCCAAAGCTGCATTGTTTTCCTGTCCTCCATTCTGTCCTTACTGTCCTTGTGAGGTAGTTCTGGCTGAGAGTATCACCCAGCAACCTTCCATGGCAGGTTGGGGATCTGGGTATTAGAGACACACAACAGGTTGCTTAAAAGCTCTCTTATTACATGTTGTCTGTCATGAAGATAACCCGGTTCATTCTGAGGTTAGTGGCCTCAGACATGTCGCATTATTTTCTGAGTTATGCCTGCCACAGAGACCCTTAAGCTTCAGTTGCAAATAGCACAGTGGTTTGTCTCACTTGTGCTAGGATGTTCCCATGCCATTCCATTTTGCCCATGGAAGCCCCACAGCCATCCTGAAGCCGGTGGCCGATTTCTCTGATGAGTTACTCCTGCCAGTGTGGTGTAGCGGTTAAAGTTTCAGACTGGGATCTGGGAAACCCAATTCCAAATTGCTGCTCTGCCATGGAAAGCTTACTGGAAGACCTTAGGCCAGTCACAGCCTCTCAGCCTGACCTACATCACAGGGTTGTCGTGAGGATAAAATGGAGGAGAGGAGAAGGGTGTGAGCTGCTTTGGATCCCCACTGGGGAGAAACAAGCATGGACAGCCGGGCCAGTTCTTTCATTCCTATAGATTAATGGTAACAGCAAGCGAAGTGATTTGTTAGTTTTGTTTTGTTTAGTTTGGATGAGGGCCGTAATGGGAGAGGGGACAAATGAAAATTTTGTCTGGGAGAGCCCATGGTAGCTCTCATACAGCAGTCACATTGCGTGTAGTGCCCGATAGTCTCGAAATCATTTTTCTTTTTGCCAACCGGGACCCCATACGCATCCCTTTTCTGGGAACATTTGAGGGTGGCAGATCCCAGAGGGGGAGCCGAGTATCCACCCCGCGGCTTAAAAAGTGTGAGTGTCGACGCTCCCTTTGTCAGATAACATAGGAATGGAGATCCGAGAGCTCTGTTATCCCAGGCAGAAGGTGTGTGTGTGTGGGGGGGGGGGGGGGGCAAGCAGCCAATGCTGCAGAAGCGCTTTGTTCTTTGTTGCTACTGTGCTTTGAGCGACACGACCCAGGCCGGGAGAGGCGGGGCCAGCCCCGAGTCCCCGCCCCTCCCCGCCTGAGGCTAGAGGCGAGCGCGGGGCTTCCCTGAGAGGGCCGGCCTTTTTTGGGGGGGGGGTCGCCCCCGCCCGGGTGTCACTCTGGGCTGGGAAAGCCGCGTTCAAAAGCGGCGCGAGGGAAGCGACGTCGGTCAGTGGCGCTCGGTGAAGCCGGGAAGGGAGAGCGGCCCCGGGCGTAGCAGGAGAGCCCCTGGTCGGAGCGCTCGCCGGGCTGAAGCCGTCTTGCGGGAACTTTGCCCGCCGGCGGGAGGATGCTGGAGGGCGGCTGCACGCCGGTGAAGGAAGGCGTGCTGGAGAAGCGGAGCGACGGCTTGCTGCAGCTGTGGAAGAAGAAGCGCTGCATCCTCACCGAGGAGGGGCTGCTGCTCATCCCGCCCAAGCCGCCCCAGCAGCAGGAGCCGCCGGTGGTGCTGTCGGCGGCGGCGGCCCCGCCGGGCGTGGAGGCGGCGGCGGCCAAGATCAAGGAGCTGCCCTTCTCCACCATGAAGACGGTGGACTGCGTGGAGCGGAAGGGAAAGTACGTCTACTTCACGGTGGTGATGGCCGAGGGCAAGGAGATCGACTTTCGGTGCCCGCAGGAGCAGGGCTGGAACGCCGAGATCACGCTGCAGCTGGTGCAGTACAAGAACCGCCAGGCCATCCTGGCCGTCAAGTCCACCCGGCAGAAGCAGCAGCACCTCGTCCAGCAGCACGGGCCCCGCCTCCGCAGCGCCTCCAACTCCGCCTAGCCCGGCTCCGGCCGGCCGCCCCTCGCCCCGGCCGCCTTCAGGTACGACGGAGGGACCCTGCCCCGGGTCGGCCCCACCACAGGCAGCCCACCACAGGCAGGGAGGGAGCCGCTCTTTGGTGGGAAGCCCCGCGGCGTCCGGTTCAGACGCTTTCGCTGGCACTGTTGCCCGCCAGCCGGGCTGCAGCCGCTTGCCTAGAGGCAAAGGGGCGAGTGGTGCCACCTTGGGAAAGCCGGGCTTAGGGGTCACTTCACGGGTTATCCTCTAAGCTTGAGAAGCACACGTGTTTCAGTACATGCAAAACGTACATAATCCTGTGTGTGATGGATACAGTTGATCTTGGGGGTTTCATGGCTTTTTCTACACGGAATTGTTGCTGCGTTGTTAAGGGTAACCTGTGAAGCACCTCTTTAAAAGATGCATCTTTCGCCCCTTGTGTTGTACCATGCAGTTTCCCTTCCAAATAATAGTGAACTATTTGCTCTCTGCTCTTTTTCTGTGGGATGGGTTCTGTGTAGGTAGATAAGCAGGCTGCAGGGTGAGCTGTTTGCCTCCCTTAATTTGGGAACTCTCTTAATTTAGGAATTCTGTGGCCTAACTAGCAAGTCTCAAGAGCACTCAGAGTATTAACCCATTTTGCTGCCTTTCCAGTGCATGCACATCTTTCAACGCTTGCTGCTTCCAGTCTTCCTTTGATTTTTTTTATCCTCCACACACCCCCAGTTCCATCCAAGAGTCTTAGAGTTTGTAAATCAGCAGCGCAGACTAGATGCTGGCTCATGCGGTGATCCTGAATAGTTCCCAGCCGGGAGTGTTGTTAGGAGGGGAACTTGAATGGGTAAACCAGCACCCCTGCGAATGGCTTGGTGGCAGTCCCGTTATTGCAAGGGCTGGAAGAGGACTGACTGTAATCTCGGAAGTTGTTGTCAGTTGTATCCAAGATCAACTAGTTATTATGTTATGATTGTCCTTGTGAGCCTGTGCCCAAGGACAGCCAGGACTGTCTGCCTGTACAGAAAAAAAAGGTGAATCAGCCCTGGGGTAGTGTGGGATAAAGGGAGCTAAGCCTAGCTGTGACATCTTCTGCAAGAAGCTTTGTTTAGGCTGCTGCCTCTTGCAAAGATACTCTGCAAGAGTCCATGTGCCTTGCAGTGTCACTGTTGGGTTTAAAGGTGTAAGCGGTGAGGGTGTCTCAAAACTGTTAGGTTACTCAGGTCGCTGTATTGTGTTCTTACAGGTTGAATCCAAAAGGCACCTGCAAGCAAGGTGGACCCTTTATCGGTTGGTCACAGACTTGACAAATGAAAGGAGCACGGTGACACGGGAGAGCATCAGTTCAACCACCGGAGTCTTCCTGTTTTTGGTACAGTTCATCGCTGCTCTGGGAAAGCATTTCAACTCCTTTAGGTTATTACTGCTACTCATGAGGATTATTTGACTTGCTGGGCCCCAAAGGACGCACACTGCACTGTCATTTTTATTCTAATGTGTTTTGTTTTTTATGTTTATTTATTATTATTATTTTTTTTAAATGTAGAATATTTCTGAATGTATGCCATCTAGAAATTAATCAGGCACAGAGCATAATTGCATTGGCTATATATATTGCTACCCTTAGAGGCAGGAGAAAATTGAAGATGGAATACAGGTGAAATGAAGAAATTTACCCAAAAGTGAACTTCCTGGTTAATTTTTCACATACACTACTCTGGTTTTAATTCCTACCAGTAAAAGACTCATGAAATCAACATGTGAAGTGTATCCCTGTGTGTCAAAGATCTTTATCACAGTCATAATGCAGAAGAAGAGCCTCTTTTCCAAGGTGAGCAATAACTTGGAACTTGATCTCTAGGTTATTTTAATTTTTATTACATATCCATCTGGATAGTATTATATTGTGTATTAGTCTATACACTTTGGTATACCACTTGGGTTCCAGTTTCATGCACACACTAAAGAAATTCAACTTCATTGGCTAGCAAGGAGAATAGATTTGAATTAAAAATACATTTTTAATAGTAGAACAAATAGTGAGAACTGTTATTGAAATTTGGGACCCTACTTCTAAAGTTTCTCAAAGGCTGCAGTCCTAAGAATACTTTCTTGGTGATAGGTCCCATTGAATGAGAGGGGCCTTATTTCTTAGCAGACCTGCTTATTTTTTTTTAAAAAATTGTTCTTTATTTGGTGGCTCTCCTTATCCCATTTAAACATGGGACACAATTTTGGACTTTACAAAGCCCATAACCCCTGAGTAAGGAAGAGCAATTACACACACACACACACAAAAGTTAAGGAGAGCTAATCAATCACTGGCAGTGAGCAGGAGAAAATCCCGATTCAGCCAAAGAGCAGAAACATCACCACTACCTTTGTTCTTTGGGCTTCAGAGCGAGTCCCAATAGGCAAAGAAGGAGAAAGCCCTGCGGTGACTGCTGAGCAGTATACAAGGGAGGAATAAATAGGAAATGCCTCGATCTAAAAAGGAAGGCCTAAAGACTGATACGTAATCCACTTTAAAAAAATTTCTTTGCTAACAGGCTGGGCCAGAACTAGGAACTTGTCATGTGGACTTGCAATAATCCAATTTTTATTCTCTCAAGATGGTTAGCTGTCTCCCAGTTCTCTCTTTGCAAGATGCTCTTGTGAGATACTGGGATTCTAGTCATCATCAAACATCTGGAAAGCCCTTTTGTTTGTCAAAGAAAGTTTTGGTAATGTTTAACAAACACCTGAAGTTCTGTCAGTTTTAGCGAAGGAATCATCAGTGTGGAGCTGTCCTGGATTTGAAGGGTACAGCCTGTGCAAAACTGCCTGGACCTCAAAAGAACAAACAAGACCCACCCACCCATATTTCTTTGGTTACTCCTTCAGCCCAAACCCAAGGGCTTAGTGGAAAGGGTGGCCACAAAATCTGGATACTTAAAACAGGTGACTGAAGTCGAGAAACGGGTCCCATTCCCCTGACAACCTGGGCAATGGGAAGACAGGCTAATCAGTCCTGGCAATCCCTGGGCAGAAGGATGGCAAAAGTGACTGAAGCTGGGCTAAGCTGTGGTCTGGCGGCTGAAGAGGTCCAGGGTGAGGGTGCTGAGGGAAACTGGAATGCTCTTCTGTTGGTGCAGATGGAGGTCAATCATCTTGTGGACAGTCTGGGAAAATTCTGTTCCCAGCAGCTGCATCAAGCAGTCTTCCCTGCACTCAGTGTACAGCAGGGTGAGCTGGTACTGATTCTCACTTCTCATGTCAAACCAGTATCCTGTCTGGTTATAACGTGTTTTGTAGAGCTCCACTTGCAGTTTCTCATTCTCGAACTGTTCCTTCAGTTCTGCAACTTCCAGGGTGGGTAGGAGACTTGCAGTTCCCTCTGAGGTTTCTAGGTGGGAGCCTCCTCTTTCTGGCACTTGGACCATCTCTCTCAAGTGCTCACACTCCTTGCAAAGGTGGACCTGCTTCTCCAGATGCTGCTGCCTGGCAGATGCTGCTTAGTGGACCTGCTTAAGCTTGTTCCCAGCATTGTACTTGATTGGGCTCAGATCGCCATCAACTTGGTAAACATTTTGCAGTGTAGGGTTGTCAGGTCCCTCGTGGAAACCGGTGGGGGATTGGGGCGGACATACCTGGAGAGGGAGGGAGGCCCAGATGACATTGCCAGTGATGTCACTTCCAGCATGCACAGGAATGTCGCAGCGATACTCTGGTATTTGGGCAAAAACGGCTCCTACCATAGAGTTTCCCCCCAAATACTAGAGCGTCACCTGGATGTTACCAACATGATTACATCACTTCTTGTGCACCCCAGAAATGACATCACATGTCAAGTGGGACTTCTTTCTCCTGGTAAGTCCCCCTCCCACTGATCAGCTGATTGGCAGCAGGGGGCAGGGCCTACCAGTGGAGGACTCTCACCTCCATCAGAGGAGGCTAACAACCCTATTGCAGTGGTATCCTAAGCAGAGTGACATCATTCTAAGTCCACTGAAGTTAAAAAAATAATGAAGCCTTTAAGCACATAGACAATTTCAACACATTTGTGTTGGTTGGCATATGTAATTTACAGTGTAATCCTATGCAAAGTTACTGAAGACTAAGCTCTTTCATTTCAGTGAGTTTAGACTAGAGTAAGTCTATACAGGACTGCACTGTTTTAAGTCTTAATGTTAAACGGCTTCTAATACCTTTGTTTCTTTAAAAAATGTCCAGGAGTTCATTCAAATACAAGGTTTCTAGTGAGGTTTAACTGAATAAGAGAAAAAGAAGATTTGCAAACTTGGTATGATCACTGGTCCAGCTGTTCTCTTTTGAAGGATACCATGTGATTTTCCCGTTTCTTCTTCCATGTCTGATTTTGTGAAAAGCATTTTGCCCCCATTAACCTCAGATTAGTGATAGTCCTGGTGTACCTTGAAATATTATGTATCTGAATGCAGTCCTCTGAGTCCTAATCCTGGCTGGTGATTAATAACTAGCTGTAGCTCTTAGCGATAACAAGTGTAGACTATGGATGAAGGGTGTGAGCATTCCTAATTTCCTTATGTGGTCTTATCCAAAATGTAATGAAATCTTTCGTAATTACCCAAAGACACAAGTGGAGATGGAAGTAGGCTTTATATGATAATTTTTGCTCTCCTTTGTTTCTCTGCCCAAATTGAATAGAGCCTCCACCTCAGTGCTTAAATTTATTGTTCCAGAAGTAGGATTTGGACTAAAATATTCAAATCCATTCTGAGTTTCTTGGTATTACAACTCATGCTGTAATGAAAAACACTGATGGAGGGGGAAGGAGAAATCTCCAGTCATAGTACTGGCTGCCTTTATTTTTCAAGAGCACTTTTGATGCCTGCTCAGATCTTCTTGTAAATTCAAGCCATGTTATCTCTTGAAGAGTTATTTGCATACTGTGTATCACTGGTTACAGGGAACACCTACAGAGAAAGATCTAACTCTATGCAGGCAACCCGGCATAGTTTCTATGCAGGAAACTATGGACTGTATTGAGGGAGGCATGCTGCGGCTGTGACCTCTGGGATAACCATCCTTGCTGTGGGTTGTCTTTGGCAGAGTCGCATCTGAAGGCCAAACTTCGTTGCTGTCTAGAATTATTTTTTTTATTCCTGTCATATTTCTCTTGTGTGAAGTGAAATAGCCTTGGGCTATTTTCCTTTTCTGCACAGTTTTCATTGGGCTTTGCTTCATTTTACCTATAGAATTTTAACTTCATTCCCAATGGAGTTAACTGAAGACATTGCTGAGCCTTTGTAGTACATTCTGGATAATAAAGCAGAGGTCAGTCCTGGACTGACACCAACAGATTTAGCTTACAACCCTCAGTCACAATTACTAGGAACCAAGGTGATTTACTTCCAAGTAGATATGCCTAGGATTACACTATAAACCCCACTTGAGGTTTGTCACCAAAGCCTCACAAGGAAATACAGAAATAAAATACTGGCTGAGAGAGGTATCTTGGAAATCAAATAACAATTATAGCTGCCCAGGAAAAGCTGCCGTTTAATTGTGCCTATTAGGCAAATACTTAATTGTGCAAGATGTAGTCAACAAATTGGTTTACAAGACTGCATTCTCTTATCACCATGAAAAACTTGTGCCATGTACACAGACCTGCTCATAAAGAAGGCCCCAAATTCACCAAAGAAATCCAGACTGCGGTGATTTGTTAATTATTGGAGGGATTATTCATTCACCCTTTAAAGCTTATTCTTTGTGGTGCTCGTCATGATAAAGAATGGTACATGAATGAAGCAGAGTGCACTGACTGTTTACCAACAGGCTCCTACATGATTTGCCACAAGTGAAAGATCAGCTTTATATCGGCTCCAGAAATGTACTGGTGAAAATGTATTGGTGAAAAGTAACTTTGCCTCTGTATGGTAAGGATTATTCTGTGGGGGGGAAAAGAAGCCCAAGAGTGCATGTATGAAAAGGCCTTTGTATTCAGAAGAAGAAGAAAAATCATCCCAGTGTTTTCTCCATTACATTGTAGAAGGAACCCCTCTTTTGTAGTTTATAGTATGCAAATAATGACTTTTGCAAATTAGCTGCAGTGCTGTACCAAATGTTTTCTGGCATATTCTATTGTGAGCTGAAATGAGTGTTATCAAACAAATGTGTGTAAATACGATTCAAATGATTTCTGAGAGATGTGATTTATTTTTCAATATGCATTCCATTTCAAATAAAGAAGTGTCTATTGAAATGCTTTGCTGATGTGGAGTAAAAATATTATTCCTTGGGGCATTCTGAAAGCAGTTTTGTAGGCTTGGGAATCTTTAATAGACTGTTGTAAATCTCATTCTCATCCAGGGAAGATTTTGATTTCACTCAACTTGTGGGTCATACCATAGATTAGCAGGGCTTTTTTTGTAGAAAAAGCCCAGCAGGAACTCATTAGCATAATAGGCCACACCCAACAGCAGAAACACATTAGCATATTAGGCCACATCACTGACAGCACAGCTCATT